GCCTCAGTGATGTCTGGTCAGATGCTTGATGTAGGAGTTGGCCTCAGTGATGTCTGGTCAGATGCTCGATGTAGGAGTTGACTTCAGTGATGTCTGGTCAGATGCTTGATGTAGGAGTTGGCCCTTGGTGTCTGATCAGATGTTGATATTTAAAAGGAGTTGACCTCAGTGGTGTCTGGTCAGATGCTTGATGTAGAAGTTGACCTCAGTGGTGTCTGGTCATATGGTGGATGTGGGAATTGGCCTTGGTGATGTCTGGTCAGATGCTTGATGTGGGAGTTGGCCTCAGTGATGTCTGGTCAGATGCTCGATGTAGGAGTTGACCTCAGTGATGTCTGGTCAAATGCTTGATGTAGGAGTTGGCCCTTGGTGTCTGATCAGATGTTGATATTTAAAAGGAGTTGACCTCAGTGGTGTCTGGTCAGATGCTTGATGTTGGAGTTGACCTCAGTGGTGTCTGGTCAGATGCTTGATGTAGGAGTTGGCCTCAGTGATGTCTGGTCAGATGCTTGATGTTGGAGTTGGCCTCAGTGATGTCTGGTCAGATGCTTGATGTAGGAGTTGGCCTCAGTGGTGTCTGGTCAGATACTTGATGTCGGAGTTGGCCTCAAGGATGTCTGGTCAGATGCTTGATGTAGGAGTTGGCCTCAGTGGTGTCTGGTCAGATACTTGATGTCGGAGTTGGCCTCAAGGATGTCTGGTCAGATGCTTGATGTTGGAGTTGACCTCAGTGGTGTCTGGTCAGATGCTTGATGTAGGAGTTGGCCTCAGTGATGTCTGGTCAGATGCTTGATGTTGGAGTTGGCCTCAGTGATGTCTGGTCAGATGCTTGATGTAGGAGTTGGCCTCAGTGGTGTCTGGTCAGATACTTGATGTCGGAGTTGGCCTCAAGGATGTCTGGTCAGATGCTTGATGTAGGAGTTGGCCTCAGTGGTGTCTGGTCAGATGCTTGATGTCGGAGTTGGCCTCAAGGATGTCTGGTCAGATGCTTGATGTGGGAGTTGGCCTCAGTGATGTCTGGTCAGATGCTTGATGTAGAAATTGACCTCAGTGATGTCTGGTCAGATTCTTGATGTAGGAGTTGGCCTCAAGGATGTCTGGTCAGATGCTTGATGTGGGAGTTGACCTCAAGGATGTCTGGTCAGATTCTTCATGTAGGAGTTGACCTCAGTGATGTCTGGTCATATGGTGGATGTGGGAATTGGCCTTGGTGATTGATGTCTGCTCAGATGCTTGATGTGGGAGTTGGCCTCAGTGATGTCTGGTCAGATGCTTGATGTAGGAGTTGGCCTCAAGGATGTCTGGTCAGATGCTTGATGTGGGAGTTGACCTCAAGGATGTCTGGTCAGATTCTTCATGTAGGAGTTGACCTCAGTGATGTCTGGTCATATGGTGGATGTGGGAATTGGCCTTGGTGATTGATGTCTGCTCAGATGCTTGATGTGGGAGTTGGCCTCAGTGATGTCTGGTCAGATGCTTGATGTAGGAGTTGACCAGTGATGTCTGGTCAAATGCTTGATGTAGAAGTTGACCTCTGTGATGTCTGGACAGATGCTTGATGTAGAAGTTGACCTCAGTGATGTCTGGTCAGATGCTTGATGTAGGAGTTGGCCTCAGTGATGTCTGGTCAGATGCTTGATGTAGGAGTTGGCCTCAGTGGTGTCTGGTCAGATTCTTGATGTAGGAGTTGGCCTCAGTGATGTCTGGTCAGATGCTTGATGTAGGAGTTGACCTCAGTGATGTCTGGTCAGATGCTCGATGTAGGAGTTGACCTCAGTGATGTCTGGTCAAATGCTTGATGTAGGAGTTGGCCCTTGGTGTCTGATCAGATGTTGATATTTAAAAGGAGTTGACCTCAGTGATGTCTGGTCAGATTCTTGATGTAGGAGTTGACCTCAGTGATGTCTGGTCAGATGCTTGATGTGGGAGTTGGCCTCAGTGATGTCTGGTCAGATGCTTGATGTAGGGAGTTGGCCTCAGTGATGTCTGGTCAGATTCTTCATGTAGGAGTTGACCACAGTGATGTCTGGTCAGATTCTTGTGTGGGAGTTGACCACAGTGATGTCTGGTCAGATGCTTGATGTAGGAGTTGACCTCAGTGATGTTTAGTCAAATGTTTGATGTAGGAGTTGGCCCTTAGTTGTGTCTGGTCAGATGTTGATATTTAAAAGGAGTTGACCTCAGTGATGTCTGGTCAGATTCTTCATGTAGGAGTTGACCACAGTGATGTCTGGTCAGATGCTTGATGTAGGAGTTGGCCTCAGTGGTGTCTGGTCAGATGCTTGATGTAGGAGTTGACCCTTGGTGTCTGATCAGATGTTGATATTTAAAAGGAGTTGACCTCAGTGATGTCCGGTCAGATGCTTGATGTAGGAGTTGGCCTCAGTGGTGTCTGGTCAGATGCTTGATGTAGGAGTTGACCCTTGGTGTCTGATCAGATGTTGATATTTAAAAGGAGTTGACCTCAGTGATGTCTGGTCAGATTCTTCATGTAGGAGTTGACCACAGTGATGTCTGGTCAGATGCTTGATGTAGGAGTTGGCCTCAGTGATGTCTGGTCAGACGCTTGATGTGGGAGTTGGCCTCAGTGATGTCTGGTCAGATGCTTGATGTAGGAGTTGGCCTCAGTGATGTCTGGTCAGATGCTTGATGTAGGAGTTGACCTCAGTGATGTCTGGTCAGATGCTCGATGTAGGAGTTGACCTCAGTGATGTCTGGTCAAATGCTTGATGTGGGAGTTGGCCTCAGTGATGTCTGGTCAGATGCTTGATGTAGGAGTCGGCCTCAGTGATGTCTGGTCAGATGCTCGATGTAGGAGTTGACCTCAGTGATGTCTGGTCAAATGCTTGATGTGGGAGTTGGCCTCAGTGATGTCTGGTCAGATGCTTGATGTAGGAGTTGACCTCAGTGATGTCTGGTCAAATGCTTGATGTAGGAGTTGACCTCAGTGATGTCTGGTCAGATGCTTGATGTAGGAGTTGACCTCAGTGGTGTCTGATCAGATGCTTGATGTGGGAGTTGGCCTCAGTGATGTCTGGTCAAATGCTTGATGTAGGAGTTGGCCTCAGTGATGTCTGGTCAGATGCTTGATGTGGGAGTTGGCCTCAGTGATGTCTGGTCAGATGCTTGATGTGGGAGTTGGCCTCAGTGATGTCTGATCAGATGTTGATATTTAAAAGGAGTTGACCTCAGTGATGTCTGATCAGATGTTGATATTTAAAAGGAGTTGGCCTCAGTGATGTCTGGTCAGATGCTTGATGTAGGAGTTGGCCTCAGTGATGTCTGGTCAGATGCTTGATGTAGGAGTTGGCCTCAGTGATGTCTGGTCAGATGCTTGATGTAGAAGTTGACCAGTGATGTCTGGTCAAATGCTTGATGTAGGAGTTGGCCTCAGTGATGTCTGGTCAGATGCTTGATGTAGGAGTTGGCCTCAGTGATGTCTGGTCAGATGCTTGATGTAGGAGTTGGCCTCAGTGATGTCTGGTCAGATGCTTGATGTAGGAGTTGACCACAGTGATGTCTGGTCAGATGCTTGATGTGGGAGTTGGCCTCAGTGATGTCTGGTCAGATGCTTGATGTAGGAGTTGACCTCAGTGATGTTTAGTCAAATGTTTGATGTAGGAGTTGGCCCTTAGTTGTGTCTGGTCAGATGCTTGATGTAGGAGTTGGCCTCAGTGATGTCTGGTCAGATGCTTGATGTAGAAATTGACCTCAGTGATGTCTGGTCAGATTCTTGATGTAGGAGTTGACCTCAGTGATGTCTGGTCAGATGCTTGATGTAGGAGTTGGCCTCAGTGAAGTCTGGTCAGATGCTTGATGTAGGAGTTGACCTCAGTGATGTTTAGTCAAATGTTTGATGTTGGATTTGGCCTCAGTGATGTCTGGTCAGATGCGTTATGTAGAAATTGACCTCAGTGATGTCTGGTCAGATTCTTGATGTAGGAGTTGGCCTCAGTGATGTCTGGTCAGATTCTTGATGTAGGAGTTAACCTCATTTTGTGTCTAGTCAGATGCTTAATGTGGGAGTTGACCTCACTTCATGTCTGGTCTGATGCTTTATATATACGACTTGGCCTCAGTGATGTCTGCTCAGATGCTTGATGTGGGAGTATTGTGTTTCAATTTATTTTTTTCGTAGTAGAATGGCTTGAAAAAATAGCAGGAATGCTAAACGATGCAGTAAGGCTGCTTAATAGTCATGGGCAAAATCATACCAAGAGTAAAGTCAAGGTTATTTGGATGCTGCATTAAAATAACGCTCCAAAGACAATATGAAAGGATGAATAATTGTTCATGGTATGCTGGTTATACATTTAATAGTGAAAGCACTTTAATTGTTATAAACTTAACTATTAAAGATCAGTTTTGAATCAAGTGAGCATTAAAGCTCCTGTTCTTCAGATGATGAGAATATATACCCTACTTTGTTGCCTTGGAATGTATACAGTGAAAACAATCCCGCCACTACCGAGCTGTGAAAGCAAAATACATTAAGTGAATCCATTGGCAGTATTTAGTTGTAATTAAATGGAGTCTTGAGTCTGTAAACTTTGTATACCTTTATTCATGGACAACAATTAGTGCTGAATTGCAGACAACTTAAATAATCTCAACAGGAGTTCTAAAAGTGAAAAAATTAATTTAGTGAGCGTTTTGTAACAGACCATAGTTATATAACAGATCAGTGACTAGTAATTGTCAAAAAGCTGTAGTTAACTGTTATGTATGATTTAATAGCTATGAAGTATAAAAGCCTGTGTGTCCACTTTAAGTAATAGTCCTGTACAATACACAGTGGTGAGAATGAATGCTATTTTAAAAACGAAAATCTGTGAAAGTTGCATGACATAATTGATGTGCTCGTTAAAGCGATTGTAAGGAGATTGTGTCAACTACATTTAGTGAATTAAATGCTATTTTTAGAATATTTTCTTCAGTACACAATTATAAATTAATGTTTCAGTTTGAGATTAGGCTTTTTGTTTCAAAATTGTGACATAATGATTTATTTGAACATTAACAGCGTTGAAGTGAAGCCATTGGACATGTTAAAGCAACCTGAAGGTTTGTAGTGATTCTCACCAACTACATGTACATATACCTACATCACCTGCTGCACAGATCGTTAAAATAAATGGAACATAAAACATAGATTTTGAGTAAAGTTTACTGCCAATAAACCTTCCTTTTCTTCCAAGTCATGACAATTCTTTTCTTGTCCATACCGGTACTTGTATGATTCAATAGTTCAAACATATGAGGCACAGACAAATCAGGTTTTTGGTCTTCACTTGTGTCAGTTAAAAATGTGTCACACCTTAATTACTCCTGTGTGTGAAGCACGTGTGTTTCTGGGCTAAATGATTAGATTAGGTTAAATTCCATTCATGTTAATTACCTAATTTGCATAAATCACTTTATTTTCACATATACAACTGTACCACAGGTTGCATACCATATGTGTAGCTGTGCAACAAGATTTATTACTTTCTGTTTGTGCTGTACACTTCAGTGTTGTGGATGAGACAAAACCTATATTAGCCTAGAGTCTTCTTGTTTAATGCTCATCTTGCATTTTTAGCTCCGCTGTTGACGAAGTCGAGCAGAGCTTCTAGTATTACTGATTGTCCATCGTCGTCGGCGTCAACTTTACATTTTCGACTTCTTCTTAAAAACCACAAACTGTATAGCTGTGAAACTTTCTCGGAAGGTACCTTGGGTGGTTCTCTCTCAGATTTGTTCATTTCATGTGGATATGTTCAATTGTCAATTGTTCAATTTATAGCAAATATTTTTGTCATTTTTGGTCAAAAATGCTATTTTCGACTTCTTCTTGAATACTGCTAGCCCAAATGCTTTGATACTTGGTATGTAGGTACCTCTGGTGGAGCTCTCTCTGAGATTTGTTCGTTTCATGATGATATCTAAATTTCTCTAAATTCTCTTATATTTTCGACTTCTCCTTGAAAACTGCTAGTCTGATTGTCTTGATATTGTATATGTAGGTACATCAGGTGGAACTCTGTCATATTTGTTGATTTTGTTACAACATCTTCACTTCTCTAATTTTGATGAATATTTTCAGCTCTGCTGTCGACATATTACTGATTGTCTGTCGTCGACGTCCGTCGTCGTCAACTTTACAATTTCAACTTCTTCTTCGAAACCGCATGTCAGAATTTTTTTTATATACATTTTGTAGGTACTACATGTGGACCTCTCTCAGATTTGTTCATTTCATGATGATATCTTTAATTCTCTAATTTTGGTGAATATTTTTGCCATTTTTGGTATAAAGTGATATTTTCGACTTCTCGTTAAAAACCGCAAGTCCGATTGCTTTGATATTACATATATAGGTACTACATGTGGGCCTCTCTCAAATTTGTTCATTTCATGGTGATATCTTCAATTCTCTAATTTTGATGAATATTTTTGTCATTTTTGGTGAAAAGTGATAGTTTTGAATTCTTGTTGAAAACAGCAAGTCCGGTTGCTTTGATATACTATACATATTGTTCATTTTCTAATGATATCTTCTGTTCTTCAATTGCAATGTGCATTGCTAACAGCGAAGCTACATGTATCTCAGCCGACAGGCTGCTTGTTTTTATTTCTACTTCCTAAGTCTCCAATACCATCAGCATATACATGTACAGGAGTTCTTTCTATAAAACTTGCTTTGATTGCCATAGATTTTGGGCAAAATTTTTGCGAAGAATTAAAATCAAGCACATGTTAATCAGTACGTCGCTAAAACTGATCAAATGATTCTCATAACTAATTTTAAAAAAAGAATTGAGTCATTGACTAAACATACTATATGTCGTAGTTCTACAGGATCTATTTCTACATGTAAATCATTGTTGTCATCAAGACATGTATGAGTATATCTGAACAGAGATCAACCCTCAAAAACTAGTGATCACAAAAATCATACACAAAAAGGGATATAAAAGCAAAACAGATCCTTTTTTTTGCGGACACATAAGTGGATGTTTGAATATGAAATATTTACCCTAAACGCATCCTGATGGATAATAGTTAAGTTAAGTCTACAATCATATTCATTCCAGTCTGTGATGAAAATGAAATAGAGGATGAAGAACACTTCCTGCTCAAATGTAAACTCTACACAAATGTGAGAGAACCCCTAATTACCATGACAAAACATCTTAATAATATTACATCAAATGAAGAAAAAATGATAGCCATAATGACTAGTGATAATGAGTCAATTATAATAGAACTGTCGAAATATATTTACAACTGTTTCAATCTGAGAGAAGAAAATATTAAAAAAAACAGTATGTCATCTGCCTCAAAATCTAAATAGTTACATGTATTTTAATTTTATTTACCGGTAATGTGTTTAATGTTATTTTTTTATTTTTACTTCTTTTTTTTTTTCTATACTTTATTGTACACTTTTGTCAAGATCCTAATAAGGATACGATTACAATAAAGATTATTATTATTTTACTATTTTACTATTCATTCCTTCCTTCACTCACTCATTTTATTTTAAGCACTAAAATATATTCACAAATATGTGTAACAGGAATAATTATCTTTGTCAGCATAAACAAATTCTCATCTCATAAATGTACACTATAGAATTTAACAAATATATATAAAAAAATTTATAAATTATCTGTATTAAAGTCTGCTTCCTCATAGACGCAAAAAATAACTAGCATTTGATTTATTAAAAAATTTTTTTTTTAAATTAATCATCTATGAAATGTACTTTCTATTATAAATGCCTTCTAACATTACCTCATTATTCATACTATGCACTGAGGGTCAGAAGTCAAATTACCAAATAAACTATTAATTAATTAATCACACACACACACAGTTTTTTCAAATTGTAGCCATTATGATGACTTGCTTGCTGTATGTAAAATATATAAAATAATTTCAGATTTCCCAAAATTGATGAATCTATTTCGATGAATCCGTCAGTTGCTACATTGTGAAGCAGTGATATAAACATTAAGTCATGTGCTGTGATATTGATTCATCTCGTTTGAAAAAAAACATTAACCTTGATCAAAATGTCAATGTTGTAAAATTATGACCTCAACACAAATAATAAAACAGTATACTGCAATATAAGGCCTTTATCATCGCTTTATTTGTCAGTCAATCTGTTTTATGCAAGTAAATGTAAACCTCAATGGAACCACATCAAGCGTCGTCCCAGTTGATTTAATTCTTTATTCATTCTGATGTGATTGCTTTTGATGGACTGTATGCTTTCTGCATGACTAGTGGTTACTCCACTCTGTTCTGAATTTCCAATGCCACTGCGTCTGATGGTTTTTATGTGTGTTATGTTTAGAAATAATCTGATGTGATATTCTGATGTACATTGAGTATAGTATTAATAACAGTCTAAGCTGTAATTGCTTAGATGTTAACAGATGAAAAACATTAATTTGGCATGTATTTGGCTAACACAACAGTTGTGGACAAAAACATGACCTTTTTTTTCATTCAGAAGACACAATGTCAATCAGTGTACTCGTCACTTGTATTATTTCAACTTTCACTTGAGAGTATGTTGGTTTCACTTAGTGTCTACCACCAATGTTTCTATTAAAGTATTTGTTGGTTGACACATATCGGCCGATTGCGTAAACTGCTCGCTTCAGATGTTTTATATACATGTATATTATCATTATAGTGATATGTCTGTTTCTAGTGCAGGTATAATATAATTCAACTTTCGTAGATATATCGATTGTAACAACAATTGCATTACACACATGTCATAATCATCTTTTCTCACAGGACAGACATCTACTATCTTGTCTCCTAATCTTTTCATGCTGAGTATTACTCTCCGCAATTAATTGTTATGAAAATAAAGGTATTTATATGTAAATAGCATATCTCTGCTTGTTGACAAATATTTTGTATATTTTACCCCATTCCGTAGCTGATCTGTCAATATCTATTTTATTATCTTCATAGAACAAAGAAGACCGGAGAGAAATATTCACCCTGATAAAAGAAGTGTTTTCAAATAGTCCAGCTTTAGGAAAACTTCAACGAGGTGACCGGATTCTCTCTGTTAATGGTCAGCATTTGCAAGACACTAAAAAGGTACGTAGGTTGACCTCGCTGAATAATTTGCATTAAGTCTCTTCCAGCGACAACTTAGATTACTGTAGTTTGCCTAATGGGATATGGTGAAATAGAACCAATGCGCACTTATCGAACATTTAGTTGATTTTAAAGACGTGAGTGGAATCGATAAATACATACCTGACAACATTTGAGACTTCCTGATTCAGTTAATATTTATTATATCTTAAGAAGCGACGAAAATTGGCCTGCACTATCTGAACTTTGACTATAATATATAGCCACTTCTACGATTGACTCCCCTGGGTATGATTTCCACTTTCTCCAGTTATGATTAATTATATAATTCTGATGAAAACTTCTCGGATTCATAAATACTATAAGTCGCTTTTATTTCGCATGGGTCAAAGTTTCATGATCAGGGAAAATAATGAAATTTTGTTTCGAGTATTTCCTTTAGATGAGGAAGTCACAGGAAATTCATTTGATTCATTTAGATAGGAGAGTCGCATCGATTTCAGTTTAATCCTATAGACAGGGAGTCACAGAGATTTCTTTTAGGTTTTTGGCTCGCCCTTAAATGAATGTTCAAGGCAAAGTACAGTCATCTGTCTGTTGCTGGTTTCTATTACTTCAAGTATTCAACAAATTGTTCTTGTTATTTATTCCAAACTGATACATCTCATGTAAAGTAATCGGGGTCTGCTGATAAATTGGACTGTCATACATGCATGATTTTTGAAAGATCGTATGTTTTACCCTGTGTGCTTAATTACTTCTATCGCATTGAATTTCAAAAACACAGTTGCCACATGTACATGCTCACTGGTGTACTATTATTGAAGGTCATAATGTTATTATATCAGACAAATGCACATGCATTTTTTTCATTATCCAATTCAAGATGACTGAATTGCAGTAATTTTAATGCCAAAAATGCATCAAAATCACACATTTTTCACCATCCCATAACTGGATCTCAGGCCCGTTTGGACAGATTTTGTTTAAATTTGGAACCTTGATGCATGTCATTTTATTTTTTTAATTGAATTCAAAATGACTGGCTGGAGGCCATAATACTATTTTAGCCCATAATACAAACAGGAACTTGTGCATTTTGTGATGCTATCTTCAATTCTGTTTTTGGTATTTTTGCTGAAAGTGATGTTTACAGCTTCTTTGATTGTTGTATAATACAGGTATCTCAGATGGACCTCTCTCAGACTTTTTCATTTTGTGTAGATACCTTCAATTTTTCTAATTTTGATGAATATTTTTGTCTTTTTTGGAAAAAATAAATATTAAAAAAATTCTTCATCTAAGATTTGTTAATTACATTACTATATCTTATATATCTTCTACTATATCAAATATTCGCAAGTATTGTAAAAAAAATGGTAATCATGAATCAAAGTATTACTATTTACAGTACAACATTATGCATACATGTAGTATTGTGATGGAATCTGTATGATTGCGTATTCCAATCTCTGTTCTTTCATTTGAAAACTTCATACCATGTTTTCTATTTTACGCATATTAAGATGGATAGTGATATCCGGTAATATATTTCCTTGCTTGTTTGCTACACTTGGATAGATTGCCTATCTATTACGTTTTAAGTGAATTTGTATTATATCACTTTAGCATAGACGGATATATTACAATGAATGGCCAGACACGTTTACTACATTGATTGGCGAGGTGTTCTCATTTAACGTTTCAACATTATTGATAATATATCATTATCACATTTTTTTCTGAGAATTAGAAAAATATTTGATATTGTCGCATTCTTAATGTATGTCACGCACATATAACAACGTACCATGGAATTTCGATGATTGACATGTATCCTCTTTCATCGCAAACATGCTGAAAAGACGTCCATTAATAATGTAATTACTGGTAACACTACAATTATTGCGTGCTGGCGTAGACTGCTGTGTCAGCATGATTTGCATATGAATACAATACATTGATCCAATTGTACTTCTTGTTAAACCCGTGATGTTCATGTCTCAATAGATACTAGTAGTCAAACGTGGACTTATAACTCAACCTCCGTGCATGTGTCTGTCCGTCCGTCCGTCCATCCGTGTTTGTGTGTGTGCGTCCATCCGTTCGTCCGGAGTCATAATTCAGAATCCTTTGGACCGATTCCGTTCATTCTTGCATGTGCCTAGTACTTTATGTGGGACATATGCACATACAGTGCTGACTGGCAGCCATCTTGTTTTTTGAAAATGTTGTATTTTGGACATGATTTGGTACATAGATTATACATGTTAGGATACATGTCCATGACAATTTCTTTCGCAATTGGATCAAAGATGGCCGACTGGCAGGCATCTTGTTTGTTTTTTTAAATGTGGTATCTTGGACATGCATTGTCAGTTTTCATTCAAATTTGGCACATACTTTATACATGTTAGGATACATGTCCATGACAATTTGTTTCAAAATCGGATCAAGGATGGCCGATTGACAGCCATCTGACTTTTTGGCCTTACTACTATATTTCCAAGATTTATGTACCATTTTCATTCATATTTGGCACATACATCATACATGTCACTTTGTTTCATAATCAGATCAAAGATGGCCGAATAACGGCTGTTTTTATTTTTGGACATATTACTATATCTCTGTCACCCATGTATCATTTTCATTGATATTTAGCATGTCATAAATGGTACATGTCAATTCAATTTGCAATTTGCAATTTGATCAAATTTGGCCGACTGGTGGCCATCTTGTTTGTTTAAAATGTGATAACTCGGACATGCTTTCACTTGTGATCTATGTTTTTCTTTGGTATGTCTTAAACCGGAGGGGTCATCACGCAACACATGTTTGAATTTGACGTAAATAAACAATTTGTTGTATCCGCCACTTGGGACTCAAGTTTCAGGGACACGCTCGCGACAACCCCTCTACTTTAATATGAGAACTTTCAAAAATTTAACGGGGACTGTGTCATTTTCAATGACTTGTTTTCTGCTAAAATGTTAAATTTATTCATATTTTCTGTCATTTTTGACTCCCATGTGCGAAGCACAAAATGGGAGTCTTTGCAGTTAGTGTGTCTGTATGTGTGTGTGTATGTGTGTATGTGTGTATGTGTGTGTGTGTGTATGTGTGTCCGACTGTTCCACTGCTATCTCAAGAACCATACATCGGTTTTTGATGAAACTTGGTGCATAGATGCTCTGGGCCAATGCGCAGATTTGATTAGGTTTTGGTAAAAATCCATGCTCGTTAATTACCTAATTTGCATGATAATTAGCTAATTTTTTGCTGTTCTATGACTGTTCCACTGATATCTAAAGAACCACTCATTGGATTTTGATGAAACTTGGTACATAGATGCTCGGAACATATGCGCAGATTTGATTAATTTTTGGTAAAAATCCGTGCATATTAATTACCTAATTTGC